ACTGTTTCTTGGTCTGGTAGAGTAATTCTAATCATTTTTTGATTACAAACAATACTAGCCTGATACCTTGCCAACCAGTCCATACCCACTACTACATCAATTCCTTCATCGGCATAGGAAATAACATAATCAGGAGTTCATAGCCCTCAATAACAATAATACAATTATTGAACACACTAGTAACAGTTTCCTGACTATTAGCAATATCAACTACTAATTCATCATCAAGTATCACAGAATTCAGACATACAATTTGAGCAAACAATGGTGATACAAACGAAAAGTTTGCACCAGAGTCAAATAACACCTTAGCATGTATTGAATTCAGAAGAAAATTACATGTTACTACATCTGGGGATGCTTCTGCCTCGTTCTTAGTCATCTGGAAGAACCGCCCCCGCATTCCTCCTCGCCCTCCTCTGTTTACCGAAGACCTTCCTCAAGTACCCGACGCGTTACTCCCCATTGTTAACTGCAGAGTTCTTAATAATGGGCAATTTGGTCGAATATGATCCAGAGAATTGCAGTTAAAATACCTTCGGTTAGCCGAACAACTTCTGGACAGATGGCCTGCTTCACCACACTTATAACATTTTCTTGGGTCCATCTTACATTCACCCTGATGAACCTGTCGACATTGTGAGCAGACTTTATCACTGATCTTCTGCTCAGATCTGTTATCATATCTTACAGTTTTCGGCCCTCGAAAATTTAATGAAGACCCCTCCCACCTTCTTTTCTCTACAAGTTTTCCTTCTGGCTGTCGGTTCTTATTTCGTTCGGTCACTTCGGCCGCATCTACCGTTAGTGAAAAGGTATTGGGGTTCATAGCAATGACAAATTCCCTAATTGAGGGTTTCAAACCCCAAATGTACCTTTCTATTTTCCTAGAGTCTCATGAAACATAATGTTCAACAAATTGAGAGTATTCAATAAATCTCTCAGTATATTCCCGAACTATTCCATTTCCCTATTCTAGCTTCAAGAAATCTTCTTCCATTTGTCTCACTGCAGTTTTAGGACAAAAATGATTCTTGAATCATTCTGCAAATTCTGCCCAAGACAATGTCTGTAAAACATCAGTTATGACTGACGATTCAACTTCCCACCAGAACAAGGCATTTGATTTCAAGATTGAAACCGTAAATAAAACTTTATTTGTTTCCGGACACCGAATGGTGTTGAACACAGATTCCATTTCTTTGATCCAGAATATAGCTTTCACTGGATCCCTTTCTCCAAAAAATGTTGGTGGCTTACATGCCAAAAACATTTTGATATCTCCCTCCTTGTTGTGAGTAACCGGTATCGAGGGATGAACTTCTACTCGTTCTGTTTTTACCCTGGCTGGTACCCCCATGATAGAAGTCAGAGTTTCCTGCAACTTCCCCATTTCTTCAGCCAACATGTCCCTGGTTACATATTCAGGATGTGGCATCGATCTCTCCTGAACATTCCCAGAATGGGATTCTTCAGGTTCAGAATGAATTCCAGTTTGACCCCTTCCTTGAGACTGGCTTCTTCCTCTACCTCGTCCCCTTGGTCTTCTTCGACCTTTGATTCTAGATGTGCCAGTCGGAAGATTAACAGGTGATTCTTCCCTTTCTTCAGACTCTGGACGAGCCGTTCTCTCAGATCTTCTAGTTCGGCTTGACATCTGCAGATTTTAGTGTTAATAATCACATATTCACATTCCCAAATATAATGAAGTATTTAAGTTCAGATGTGTACCTGTAAATTCATAATTACACTGACCAGATGTAATTAAAATTTACCTTACACACTGTTCTTTCAACTCATTATATATATTTACAGTGGACCTAACTATGTCCGGGACCCTTAACATGCAATAAAACAGTTTAAATCTAGGTATTATGCTGTTGAATACCTAAATCCCTTAAACTCTGGCTTTGATACCACTTTCTGTAATACCCCAATCCACATATTGCACGTAACATATACTTCATACACAAGAAATACATGTTTATACACCACATAGGTCCCCTAGTACAAGAATCTACCTTTACAGAATACAAGGTCCAAAAATTCAAAATACAATTCTTGTATTAATCAACATTTATCAATCAAAACTATACATCMTAGACAAATCTTCATGCAGATATGCATATAGGAAAATATCACATTTTTCCTTTTCCCTTACCGTCCGCACTTCCTGCAATACATATTTAAAATTACAAAACGAGGGTTAGACCAAAAGGTCTAGTGAGTTACCCTATTTATGTTATTGCAGGGTAAAAATCACCAAAACTTTGTACAAAATATCTTTTCATATATATAACAAATATATGAACAAATAAGGACATAGTACCAGTATCTTTCTACTTTTCAAGCCAAGCATTCAGCTATTCAGATAACATACTCCAAAACTTTATAGGTTTGAATCAATCAGGTTCCATATAATGCCACTTTTAAACCTTTCCAATTCAACAAGGTTTATTTAAAGTTTCAGGTCAAACCTGTTATTTCTTCCTCCATAACATCCAGATCATGATTTCCAATAAAAATCCTGATCCTAAACCTTTAAATCATAAAGAAATAAAGATTCTAGACCACGGTAATTTTAAAGGATATAATAGTAAGAGTTATATCATTTAGTGCAAATGAGTTCAACTTAAAGAAGTTCAATGAGTTATAAACTGATATGATGTCATAGTAAAATACGTATCACTTCACTTAACTAATATTAAGTTCATTAAATTAACATTAAGTTCATTAACATTTTTCAGAAGTCAAATTTTTTTCCTTCCAACCACCTCTAAGGTTATGTTTTCAAATTTTCTTTCTATATATTTTTGTTATAACAATATTGTCTTTTATAAAAAAAAACATAATATAATTTAAACTAATTTAAATTAGAATTTTTAATAAAAAATGACGAGTTATTATCTGAATTTTTGGAGATTGTTGAAAACTTTTGAATATTCAAAAACTTAAATAAGAACTGATTGGTTACTTTTTAAGTTTTAAAGTCGAAAAAAAAATGATGGATTATTTTCTAAATTTTTAAGTTGCAAAAAGATTAATGATATATTCTATGAAAATATATATAAAATGAAAATTAAGAATTTGCATTTAAAATTTTTAATTTTTTATTCGTTTTTTACAAGAACAAACAATATGACTATATACATATGGTTAAAATTTGTAAATTATAAAATAAATGATATATTATTTTTTATAAATAACAATGCTTATTGTTTTTTTTTTTCAATTTATTGGTTTAAATTTGATTAATATATAATACAAATAAAAATTATAATTACTATAAACTAACAAATTATTATTATCTATTAATTAACAAAAAGTAAGAGAGAGAAAATGGACATAAGAGAGATAGAAAAATTTTCAAACTTTTAGATCATTTAATGTTATTTATAGATTCTTTTTTGACCTTTTTAATAGATGGAGATGTAAATAACAACCCCCGTATATAATCATTTTTTTTGTATTCTTTTTATGTTTTGTCTTTTTGATGTCTTTTTCCTTTTTATACTAATTTTTTTTACTTATTTTATTTAATTATAAATATATTTACTGTTACAAATATTATTTATTATTCTCTAAAAAATTATTA